TTTGTTTATTGTTTATGATTTGACCCCACATTGATCCTCTATTAACACACACACACAAACACACACTCTGAAGTTATTCTGTGTGAATTTTTATAAAGTGTTCACACTATTGAGATGCATTACTCTTCCATACATTTTTCTCATTCCACAGTTTTTGTCTATTTCAACAACTCATGAAAACGTTCAGCTCCTTCAGGACATTCCTGCTCTGACGTTTTGTATTTGTGCAATTTTTACTTTTTAAAATATTTAGCTTTTACTGCCATGTCTGTCTCATTGAAAATGAATGGAGCTCTCCACATCCTTCAAACTCTTTCTGCTGTCTACAACTCTTTACTGCTCCTTTCAGCTTTTGTGCTGATTCAGTTTTTTAGCTTCTTTATGCTAATTTGAGTATCCTTTAGCTCCTTTCAGCTTCTTTCTCTTTCTGGTTTTGTTATTTTTTTAATCAACTTCTTTTTGTTAATCTAAGCTTTTTATGCTCCTTGCAGCTTCCATCCATGCATCTATTATCTTTTACCCACTTCTTCTTTTGTGGGTCTTGGGGGTCACCGTTGCCCATACCTAGCCATCACTGTGCGAGAGGTGGAGGACACCCTGGACAGGTCTCCAGTCCATCACAGGGACACATAGAGAAAAACGAGACAAACATTCACTCTCTCACTCACACCTAGAGACAATTTAGAGTTACCAATCAACCTAACATGCATGTTTATGGTCTGTGGGAGGAAACCAGAGCACCCGGAGAAAACCCATGCATGCACGGAGAGAACATGAAAACTCCACCCAGAAAGGCCCCTGGTCAGGATTTGAACCGGCGACCTTCTCATTGAGAGACAGCAGCTCTTTTGCAGCTTCTTTCTGCTAAATTTATTTATATGCTTTTGCAGGTAGTTCTGAGGCATTTTCTGCTAATTTTTGTCCTTTTTCTACATTTTCATCTCTCTCTCTCATATATATATAGATATATAGATATATATATCTATATATATATATAGATATATATATAGATATGTCTTTGTTTTATTATCTAGTGATTTAAACATTTATGCTACAGTCAGCCTCTTTCTGCTAATTTAATTTTTAACCTTTTCAGCTACTCTTGCTTATTTCAACTTTTTTTTCTGCTCATTTCAGTTTCTTTTTTTTTGGGGGGGGGGGGTCTAATTTCATATTTTTGTAATCTATTCAGCCTCTCTTTGCCCATTTCATCATATTCTACTACATTTCTGCTGCTTTCTGCTTTTATTTTCCTGCTTTCAGCAAATGTCAGCTGTTCAAATTCAACTCGAATGACTACAATACTGTTAATGCAAATTAATTAATAACAGTTCAGCAACGAAACCTCTTCAACCTGGTGTCCACTTCTTCAGCAGCTTTAAGCAAAAATCATTCAGCAATAAGCACTCACTGCATTTTCACAGGAAATGCAACTTCTCTAATTGTTATAAAATCATACGGCAGCTTGTTCTACCTCTCTGCTGTAACACCAGCAGTTTAAACAACAGGCTCTCCAACCAAAAACTAAAGATCGTGTTAATTAAGACGTGCTGAAATACCTTTCATCAGCTTCTCACAGCTGGTGCTCATGTTACAGGACAATGTTGCTCTAGATTAAAACTTTTCACTGGAGACGAACTTTTCAACCGTTAGTTTGTTGTATCTGTTGCAGTTTTACAGAACAAGGGTTGATTACTAACGCTCCACCTGTTCAGCAGTGCCGCCCACATTCCTATTCAGTCCCCCGCCGCTGTCATGTGCTTTCTGAGCTCGTACCTTTACGTGAAAAGACCCTTCAGTATAACGTGCCTCCAGTCAGAAGTCAGTTAATCTCAAGTTCATAAACCCTAAAGAGTGGAGAATTAGCAGAGTGAAGCGTGTCCAGACCTGTTAGGACCTTATTCAAATTCTTGACTTTACAAATAATTAAATACATCGTCAGGTTCCTGTTCAATGTTTGAAAAATAAAGAAATAACTTGTCTTTAAGCAAACATTACTGCAACTCAGTGGTTGTCAGACGTTGGGACTTTTGTTGTTTTCCTATATAAAACGAGCCGTCTCCCATCTCTGAGGGATTTGAATAGTGAATGTTTGTAGTTTTCAAGATGAGTGTTTTTCTGGACTGAAACTGAACAGAACCTTAAATGTTTTTGTGTAGGAGTTGAACAATGTGGATGACCAGAGGTAGTTTTTTTTTTTTAATTCCTGCTCATTCAAGGTATTATCCACCAACAGGTGCACAGGTGGACCCAAGGGGTGGCCAGTGGTGCCTTGGCCACCAAAAATCAATCGTTTTTAATCTCTAATATTAATCTAGATTAATATAAAATCTATAAATGATAGTGTCCCATAAAGTTGAATAAGACAACTAGAGGATGAAATGATTGTGTGACGTGATTCAGTGGAGGGACGGGAGCCATAATCAGAGAGGGTTAGCATCAGATTTAGCATTGTTGTAGATACTGGGAAAATAGCCAACAGTAAGAGTTGTTATGTATAAATTTGAAAAAAAAATATATAATGATAATATTAATAGAATAAGCTATCTAATATATATAAACATATAAAAACACCCGTGTGCTACGGTTGTACCAACCAAAGAGAAAAATGTGTCTTATTTCACAAGTTAGCAGATTTGATCTTTGCCTCAACGTGAATGTGATCCGATCATAATGGAAGCCAATAATGTAACAGATTAAAATTAAAATTAGTCTATAAACTATAAAGCCAATGTAATTGCTGTTAATTATTGACTTGGCTAGTAGATATTAGCTTCTGTGGCATGGTCTATAGAGTGTAGCTCTATGCTGAACCATGCTACAATTTAGCACAAATGATTAAATAGTACAATCTAGTATTGCCTCCATTTTATGATTTACACTGTGTAAAATATTATTATATATTAGACTACTTTTAGGTTTTCATTACACAAACCTGACCCGTTGAGAAGACGGTTAGTTAATTTATCAGTAGAGACAAGTTTCTTCCTTCAAAGTTTCACCAGCAATGAACATTTTCCAAGTGTCAGCTACAGAACAGGCAAATAAATAAAAATATAAATTATGCAAAACCCTTTGTATGTAATTTCTGAGTTGTGTGTGTTACTGACTGACTTTAGGTCTAGTTTAGATAATTACTTATAAACAGTAAATTTTCCAAATCTAACTGTTTTACATGATTGTTGAATGAAATCAACATTAATCCTCACATCTATTAATTTTTTGTGAAAAGATTACAAATAATTTGTATATTATAATAAATAAATAATAACAATAATAATAAAATAAATAATTTTTCCTTTTAGATTGCGACATATATGGCAGCAAGTATGGTAATAACGTTACTAATCTAAGGAGAATGCATTCTGAATGCATACCGAGTTGTTTTTGGTTAATAAGCGTCTTCACCAATTAAAAAAAAAAGAAAAGGCCCAAAATATAAATCCTCTTAGAAAACAGGTCAGATTTGCAAGTTCGTGTTTGTTGGCAGCTCGTTCATTTGTACTTTAGCATCCGTTTCAGAATGGTTTGTTTTGTTTTTAAAAACAAGATGGGATTAAAGTGAAGCAAAGAATTTCACTGTTGAATGGTTGATCATAAAAATAAACAATAAAAACCAGCTTGAACGACGGCACAAGACGAGGCTGAACAAACGAAGAGCTAAAGCAGAACCCGTTATTGATCATTTGTCTCAGTTTATCAGTTTATCAGCTCTCAGTGTGGGTCGAACCTTCAACATTTTCTTAGTTTGTTCGTTTCACAAGTTAAAGTGCTGAACCTGCGGCGATAATCAGAGATAAACTTTGACATGAGATGAACTTTGACACCTTTCAAACGTTTAAAGGATGAACTTTTCTGTCTAAACCCTCAACAGAGACTTGTTGATAGCCTCATCACCTGACAGTTGTCCATGAGCAGCTTGGGAAGTGAGCGATAAACACACACACTGATTAAAGACGGAGCTGGGGGTAACACACACAGCAGATAAGCTTGACCTCTGATACCACGAGACAAGCGATGCTCATCATTTCCATTGTCTAAAGGGAATAAGACACACGCATGACAATGGTGTTTTAGTTGTGGGATTAAGTCTAAACATTTGGAAAAATGTCCAAGTCAATCGTTAATTACTTCTTAAAGCTTTCCTCAAATAAATGCTCTGTGCTTTTAAGGCAGACAAACTTAAACTTTAATTTAAAATTGTTTTTAAAAATGAAGTGGTATGCAAAAGTATTAACATCCTGGCTTTAAACTGGACCATTCCAGGACATTCAATGGTTTTCTAAAAAAAAAAGTTAAATCTGGTCCTCTGGACATTCAAAAAGCAAAGCAAAAAAAATTTAAAAAATGTAGAAACGTTTCGTCTTTCATCCGAAAGACATCCTCAGTCTGAGGTGCAGTATTCTCAGAGTGGATCAACCAGT